CCTTAAACCCAACCCTCACAGGAAACAATCTCAAAATACTTAATACTTATATACAAAAATGTCCCCACAAGGTCAAAAATTACTGGTATTGCTACTATGCTATAATTAGGGATCCACATATTTTGTCCCCAAAATGTAAGGAATACAAGTTACACACTTAGATGCACATGCACGCACACACAAACACACAAAATACTTAATACTTATATATAACAATTGTCCCTGCAAGGGCAACATTTTCTGGTATTGCTATACTTCTGGGGACATTTGGTCCCCACAACATGAGGAATACAAGTTACACATTTACACGTCCACACCCACACACACACACAAAAGAACTAATCCTAACAGAAAACATTCATTTACATTTACAAAATACTTCAGTCTGGATTATTTATGAGCCGTTTTCCCCAAGGAGACCACCACCACCACCACCAACAACAATCTATAAATGGTCAAAAACTATTGTATACAATAGTAATACTATTGTATTGTATTACTCTATATTTGGTCCCCATAGTGTGATAAAAACATGTCTCTCTTCTTTCACAACCCTTAAACCCAACCCTCACAGGAAACAATATCAAAATACTTAATATATATATATATGTGTGTGTGTGTGTGTGTGTTATATAAATGTCCCCACAAGGTCAAAATTTACTGGTATTGCTATACTTACATGGTCCCCACATTTGGTCCCCAAAATGTAAGGAATACAAGTAATACACACTTTCATACGCGTGCACACACACACACACACACACACACACACTTCAAACCAAGAGCCAGCATATCACATTTCTCTCATACAGTACTCCGCTGGCCATATAGCGCTGTAAAAGCCTGCGGTGACCGGCACAGAAGGAGCGCTCATGTTTATTTAAATACACTTCCAGACGATCGATACCCAAACACAACTCCTGCCAGACTACGGCCAGATTCAGACCTCAGAGATGAGCTTACGCCGCTGACCCCGATTCCTGGTGTAACAGTAGATAATCCATAAACTTCTTCCTCCTCTTTCAATCTCTCGTGTTCAGGCCGTCCCACACTTTTATGTCGCTCAAGTGTTTAAATATAATGATGATTAGTTCAGCTTTAGTGTGAGAGCGTCACAGTTCAGCGAACCGTGCGCGATAAAAGTGAGTCTTCAGAGACGTCAGAGGTCAATAAACGCACGTATAGACGTCTAGAAGAAGAGCCAAAGAGCTTAAATCTGGCTGGTTAATAGCCTGAAGAAGAGTATGGTCAGCGGAGTATTGATCAAAGCTTTCTGATGGGCTTGTGGAGGGTCGCTCATGTCCAGACTATCTTTTAGTGTCAGGAAAACACTAAACTGAGCACTGACCGCTATATATTTGAGTGTTTGAAAGGCCTGCCTGCTCAAATCGATTTTATAGCAACCAAACCATACAATTTATAAATATCTACAGCTGAAAGCAGAAGTTTACATACACTGTATAAAAAGGCATATTACCATTTAAAGAAAAGTCAGATGTTAATGTGACTAAACCTCTTCTCTTTTAGGTAAGTTAGGATGATCACATTTGTTTCTGTTCTGCTTAATAGCAGAATAATGAGAGAGATGTTGTTTGAGAAATTGTTATAACTTTTCTTGAAAGTCTAGTTTACATACAATAAGATTATTCTGCCTCTGAAAAAGCTCAGATGATGCTGTCAAGGTTTTGGAAGTTTCTGATTGGCTAAATTTGAGTTAATTGGAGGCACAACTGTAGAATAGTATTTAAGGAAAAGCTCAAACACACCGTACGTTCACACCGAAAGCGGCGACAGCGTCAAAGTAGCCGGAAGTCATTCATTTTCAATGAGAGCCGGCGGCGATAGGCGGCGAGGAGCAGCGCGGCGCGTCTTTGCCGGCGTGAGCGTTGAGGAGAGTTGAAATGAAGTCAACTTTATGGTAATGAGCTATGACGCGGTTCGGCGGCAAGCAATCAGAATGAAGACGTCCATCGCTTGATAGCAGTTCAGAGAACACATACCTGTGAACTTTGGTTCCGACCACAGTTGTTCCCAAGGGTTTGATTATTGCGGTCGCCGGATCCAATTTCCAATTATTTACAATTTCCTACAGGAACATACATTAAATAAGTTACTGGCGAGTTACTGATGTTCATTAACGTTATATAAATTTATCTTAAAAAAGCGGGAATCTCACGCGATGTGACGGTACAAAACAGTATAGCTGCTTCAGGATATTTCAGACATATGGACACATATTGGATAAATAGAGCAAAGCCACAATGCACGCAACTTGATCTTCCATTGTTGTATGAATTTGATAAGAAGTGCGCAACATTTTCACGCTAGAAACATGTTTTATGCAGGAATGTAACTGATATGCTGCAACGGCTCCTTTAAATATGAGATTAATGTAGCGAGTTTTGACGCTCTCGCTGCCGGAGCTGAAGGCAGAGAGCGTTGTCGCCAGGGCGGCCAGAGCGACCTTGGACGCTCTCGCCGCTTTCGGTGTGAAGGTACA